TGGAATTTGTAACAAGAAACAACTGTTCGTACCCGGCTTTAGATTTTGCATTGTATGGAAGTCGTATCGTGAGCGATAGCATTTCTCGATGTTTTATGTATAATATACGACTGATAGTTTGCGACAATCCATCACTGGTTGATCTTTTATGCGAACACAAAACATTCTCGCTTGCTAACATCCAGTAGTATACCACAGATTTCAGTGATTCCTGATGTATCTTGTGAAACAATTATGACACCTACATATAGAATGTTCTATTTTAAATAATTTGAGAGCCAAATTTCGAGATTATTATAATTAAAGACTGTATTCATAACGGTTGATAAGCCTTGACTGTATGTATACTTGTAATTTCGATTTTAAAAAATATGTACACCACTGTTCAATTTCTTTGTGGAGGGTTACTTAATTTGCACTGTTCAGGGAAAAGAATTACATTTTTAGTTACACTTATCATCATTTATTCTATAATCAGATTATAAAAAAATACTCTTGCTCATGTTTTATTAAGATTTCTTGATGTACCAACTTAACTTAACTTCTATCACCTAGCACAGAATGAAATCTAACCATAATTTTAAACATTTGGGAAACGTTTCTTATACGCTTTTTGAGACATTACTATAGCGTTTTTAAAAACTTTTTAAACGTTCCCAGAAAGTACAGAGAATGTTACTTATACACATTCGGATAACGTTCTGAGAATGTTGACACAGGACTCATCACTTTGTAAATAAGACCTTCCTAGGACATTTATAGATCTTAACGAGGACGTAGGGGCACATGCAGACCTTTCTAACGTTTTTAAAAATTTTAAAAGTGTATTTTAAAATTTGTTATTACAATTCCAGATAAAAAAAAGTTGTAAAAAGCGACCTTTACTATTTTCTTCGCGGATCCGACCAATTGCAATCTTTCAAATTTTTTTTCACGCATTATTTAGTAAACTAATCTTTTTAACTTCACAAAAAGTTCACCTTACTTGGTCCCATTTTTACAAAATTATTCTGTTTTAAACAGAGTGCAAATACTTGTTTTACAGAGTAATTATTAATTCTTTTAATGAAAATTTACGTCTTTCATATTATACAGCGTGTTAATTTTAACTCGAGCACCTAAATTATTTCGACTACTATTGAAAGTAAGAAAAAACGATTAAATAGGATTTACATGGTTTTAAGGCGTACATCTGATGGTGATAAAAGGTTTTTTTTCCTTCTTATTACGTTTATTTACTTCTGCATTCTTCAAACTGAAGCTGATTTCTTCGCCTTCAAGGTCACTTCAAAGTCATGGTGTGTAGGTCGTTGAACTCACTCGATGCCGACCACCACATCACGTTCTAAAAAATACATGTTAATTTGCAAAAAAATCCTATGACCTTGAAGAAACCGTTAAAATGACCTTTACAGGATTTTTTTTATCACCATCAGATCCAAACCATAAAAACCATGTACATCCTATTTAGTCATTTTTTCTCACTTTCAAGAGTAGCGGAAATAATTTAGGTGTTCGTGTTAAAATTAACACCCTCTATATAGGCTAAATCACCTAACGTTTGCACCTCAAATATCTTTGTTTGTGAAGATACGTCAAATGTCTTAAGGATAAAGTTGAATGGTTCAATGGGTCTCACACGATACCAAAAAATTGTTTTTATATCATTCTTTTAGAGATATCACGGTTACCTTCATTCTTTTTTAAACACCTAAACCGATAGTCCCTTTCATTAGGAATTCAGTAATTATAATTATTCAAGGTCATTCAAGGTCACGAAAAAAAGACCTTGATATCTCAAAAAAGAAAATGACAAAAACAAAAATTTTTTGGTATTGTGTGAGCCCCATTGAACCATCCCCATTGAAACAAAGATATTTGAGGTGCAAACGTTAAGTGTCTTACCCTGTACACGTACAGGCATATTGTATAATGTATAACGATCATTCTTCTATCAAAATATTATCGTTCCATAATCAAACGAATTTTCTTACCCGAACATCTTGTAAAATAACCACTTCGTATTATTTCAATAGAGATTTCATTGTGTTTCACGAAGTGTTAAAGTACCATGAAATTATTCGGAAGACGAAGTCGGGAAAATCAGCGCATCATTGTAATCACGTAGCAAATTTCAGGATCTAATGCTGAGTCATTAGCCCGGTGCCTGGGAACTGACGTTAAACGCGTCCATAATACTGCATCCGACTGACAGTAAACAGGAGGGATCGATATTTGTTGCACGACGCACGGATACCTCTGAAAGGAACACGATACTTCATCGATATCATCGTGACAGTGACGTGTTACCATTTTGTCCAAGCCATGTCTTGCCAAGGAGTCGACGCGTAACTCAACTTTATCATTAACCATTTAACTCCCAGCGTTGTACCCGTGCTACAGTCATTTTGAAAGTGCGTCACATTCTGTCGCCGGCTAATATTCAACTTTCGCCAGTAAGGATTCGTAGTTTGAAAAATTAAAGTACCCCCCCCCCCCCAAAAAAAGAAAATAAATACAAAGAATCTGATCGGTTTAATATCGATATTTTCGAGTTCAAAATAACAAGATAGTACGTAGAGACAGAGTGAGTCAATAAGAATTGTTATCTAAAGTAACTCGTTACCTGTTGGTCGTATCAAAAAACTTTTTTAATGAATTCAGGTATTACACTTAAAAGAACTCATCGGATGGAGGCAATTTGATTTTTTCATATTTTTTATTTTCTGAGATACCAAGGTAACCTTAAGTTTGTTCAAGGTCAATGCATTTTTTCCCCCCAGACCTTATTATAGGTCATTGAATTCGTTTTTTTACCGAATACACGCAGTACTAAAAATGAAATTGCATCCACCTGATGAGTTCTTTCAAATGCAACATAATTCGTTAAAGCGGTTGTTTATACGATCAATGGGTTATTTTAGATAGTAGTTCTTATTGACCCACTCAATATCTATGTTTATCACTAGACTGCGGATTTTATGCATTTATAGTCAATAGGGCTCTGTGTAATACCAAGGAGAAAAAGTTTCGTCAGATGCAATGTATTTTCTACTTAATTCTGAACCCAATAAGATATTTAAAAAAAGAAATAAATTCCTACCTTTGCTGTTTTCGTCAAAAATTACTTTAGAAAATGTCATTTTGCATAAAAATCCGCTGTCTATTTATTAGTCTCATAATTTTGAAATAACGATTTAAGGGTCTGGGTATTAAACGATTGGTTACGCGCTGCGATTGATAGCCAATGTTGCCGCGAGAAATCGGCTAGCAGTCTCGTGCTCTGATTGGTCGGGGTTTTTCGTTAATAACTCATTAACAAAGCCTCGGATAACATTTTTGCTAAGGAAAAACTTGTTTCAAATCACGTCACGAGTCTCCTATTTCCGGGTCGTCCAACATTTTTGTTACACCCAGTAAACGTAATATAACATAATATAATATAATAAAAAGAGTATAATAAATAGTCAAACTGCGGAAAAGCTGCCTACCCTCCTCTCGATAATTTTTGGATATGTTGTAAAACTCGACATTTTGAACTACTTTTTCCTATACATATAACGGGGAGAGTTACAGAGGCGTCGCGATTATTGACACTTTGTTGATATGCGATTATTGTCCAAGCGTCATCCCCACTAATTCATTAATTAGTCATTATACTAATCGATTTGCAATTCTATGAAATTAAACGTCCGTTCACGTTAATACCTCTCCTAAATAAGAATGAATCGTTACTCTGGATCAGTTAAATAAACGAAAGCTAAGGTTAAGCTAAACGAAGCTAATTCAATGCGCTGGTACCGGCAGTTTGTCGCGATTATCTCAGAAACTAAGCAACTCCCCCCGTTATATGTAAGGGTAAAAGTTGTTTAAAATGTCGAGTTTTACAACATATCCAAAAATCGTCCAAATCGGAGCGTAGGTAGCTTTTTTACAGTTTCACCTAATAAATTTAAATTCAACATAAATTCTGCCAAAAGCATTATGATATCAATAATTGTAGGTCAATAAATTTGAAATTCGTCATTTTGCAAGGTCTGACGGTTCTCCAGTGTTAAAAATACGATTTTACGTTTCTCGCCCAGTCGAGCATTGAACTTGATATATTATTTTAATATTGTTCCACTTTCCACAACAATACCGTAGCGAATCGATTATGGGATTATTTGGAAATGCTGCCGTGCACCTATGTATACTCTATTACGTATCGATCCTTTGCAAACAACGCGATCCGTATATGCATAACAGTGGGTGTCAAAAGTACACCCTTCAATACGGAACAACTTTTTTAAAATTGGTCCAAATGACTTGAGTTCTTTTGTGAAGCTAGGAACATTAGTTTACTATATGTAAACAAAAATTGAAAAAGTTGCAATTGGTTGGAATCGCGAAGAAAATAGTAAAGGTCGTTTTTTACAACTTTTTAACCGGTGGCTATAATGAAAATTTAATAAATACGTATCGAAGATTTATGTTAGTTATATACATACTGAAACTTTCATTGAAATCGGTTAATACAGAAACGAGTAACAGACAGTTGTAGGTCAAAAGTCGCGAAAAACTGCGATTTTCAACATTCTTAATCGTTTGTATCTCGTAGCAATGTTAACCGATTTTGATGAAATTTTCAACATGTATATATAACTAACATAAATCTTGGAAATGTATTTCTTAAATTTTCATTATAGCCTCCGATTAAAAAGTTGTAAAAAACGACCTTTACTATTTTCTTCGCGATTCCAACCAATTGCAACTTTTTCAAATTGTTTTTACACATCATTTAGTAAACTAATGTCTCCAACTTCACAAAAGAACCCAAGTTATTTGGACCAATTTTAAAAAAGTTGTTTCATTTCGAAGGGTGTACAAATACTTTTGACACCGACTGTACCTACACGTATACAACTATCCACACGAAGAGGACCTGCGGTATCTGATTGTTGACACGTTTTAATGCATCGTTATCGAACGAGCATTGTATCGTTTGATTGTTTTCGCAGCGCTATCCGGCTGACCGGTCCATTCATAACCATGGTCTACAGCATGATAACCGGGGACATGTTGACCTTCGGGATAATTTACATGGTGGTGCTGTTCGGTTTTTGCCAGTCGTTCTACTTTCTGTACAAAGGCTTCCCGGGAGTGAAATCATCCCTCTATAATTCCTATCACTCGACCTGGATGGCACTGTTTCAGATAACCCTAGGCGATTATAACGTAAGCCCCGCCATAAATCAGCGTTTTATTGTCGTGCGCCAGCTTATTTCTATCGTGCACGCCTATCACGCATACCGTGGTCCGGTGCACGTGTATACTTTCAAACCCCTCTTCTCTTTTTTTGTTTCTTCGTCTTTTGTTTACTTTCGCTGTTTCTGCACCGCGGCATATGTTTACGATGGCGCAAATGGAACACGGATCATCGATCGAGCTTTTCACAGAAACTGAACCGATCGATTCTGTTCACTCTCACAAGGAGAACTTACGGGTCGGATAATCGCTTTTGGAATGACACTATATACAAGTTGTAGTACACATATAATGTTACAAAACCCTTATTGGTTTCCGTAGAATGGGCCTTCGTTTTCCAAATATTCTAGTTTAAAGTTTTTGTACGCATCTAGTTATTCATTTAAGTAAAGCATGTCATAATAGAGCAGCCGCTGGTGAGGCGGTAGAGTAACCGACTACGATTAGTGATGGGTTCGAGCCGTTTGTGTCGAGCCGAGCCGGAGACAGAAAGCTTTTTTTTTCTTTTATTAATGCCTACTTATATTTGTAAAGTTACATGTGCAGATAGCATACATTACTAAGTGTACATCGTTATGAGAGATCATCAATATTCCAGCCGGTGGATTACATGATGTGTTGAAGAAAAGAGTCAATAACGTGTGTGAACTTAACTTTTGGGTGGATGGCCCAGGATTTGTTGGTATACATTAATTTCTTAATAACTAGTGCTTATGTATTAACAACTAAAAATTAAATATGTGAGCCTATATCTACTTAAAGTGGGTTCATGTATGATGTCTAGTAAACGGCCCGTGTGCCAGTTTGCTCTGGTGGGTGGTGTGATTACAGAAAATAGTGGGGAAGCTGTGTGTTTAATAGAGTCATAGAATTTTATATAGCGTCGGTTAATAAAGTCTTTAACAGTCGATGTGTTCCATTGTTTTCATACTATGCGCATACGAGTGCGTTGATAAGAAGTACCTATAGTAATGGTACGTAAAGTTCTGTTTTTACACTGTTGTAATTCTACTAATATTGATGTATATAGTTCTCTGAATAGTGGTGAGCCATATAAAAGAAAGCTCGAGCCGGCTCGAGCCGGCTCGAAACCGGCTGGAATCACTGTGCCAGCCTAATCAACGCTGACGGCAAGGCGGCGAGTTACCGTCAAAGGCAGGAACACCAGGCCGTGGCGAGTCGAGATGTTATCTTATATAAACCTATAAGCCTCCGTCGCCCGACGCTCGAGTTACAATGTATCACAGAGAACGAATCATCCAAGAATAAAAATTTAAACTTTTACTCCTTTCAGTGTACTTACTTAAAAATGTTATGAATAAATGTAGGAGATTCTCCCGATGAAAATAAGTCCAAACTCGACATAAATCGGACTATTTATAAAAACATACAATTTGTATCGCGATATAACGTATGAATAAACATTTAAACTTTTACCATCAGATAACATCTCTACTCGCCGAGGCTTGGTTAGGCAGAGCCTTGTCTCCGTTGACATTTCATAAAACTGTCATTCCGGCTCGCTCAAGCCGACCAAGCCGAGTTGGGTATCGTTGGCCTCGAGCCGGCTCGAAAAACCATCACTAACTACGATGCTGCGGGTCCCGAGTTCTCATCCCTCGTGGGATGAAAAATTTTTTTTTCACTTTAAAAAGGTCTTTGCAGTGCAAATAATTTTTGTTTATCTTACATTAATTTTACGGCCAACATAATGTATTTCAATTAACTGTTTCAAATAAATTAACATATAATTTTCAGAATAAATTTCGTATCTTGTTTACGTCTGAAAACGTACACTATGGTAAGGTAATATTGTCTTATAGTATAATAACTAGACTGCGGATTGTATGCATTTACAGCTCACAGGGTTTTGTGAGATACGATAGAAGACAAAACTTTCATCGGATCCACTGATGTCTCTATTTTAGTCTGAATCCAATATGTTACTTAAAACAAAAAATAAATTTCGACATTTGTTCTTGTCTTTATAAATTACTTTAGAAAATGTTATTTTGCATAAAATCTGCAGTCATAACGTTTGTTTTCATGACCAATAACAATAACGTTTGTTTTCATGACCAATATTATATCATCCGAGAGATTAGCATATTCTAGTAAAAATTAGAAATCGATGATAAAAATGCTTATTATATATTTGTTATTATATTTAAGTACTCGTTAAATCAATTTTGTGAATTATGAAAACATTTTAATATCTTTAAAAGCTGAAACTGTGTATGTACTCATTGTTAGTTTCGCATCTCGTAAAATAACATTCATTACCTCCTTTAATTCCGTAAACTCATTTCACATGAACTTCATTTTTTTCTCCAATTCTATGAATTTATCGTTGAAATAATATCGCAGATTTATTTTAACTTTAAAAAAAATTTCTTTTTGTTACAACGCACAGAGATTCGCGCGATAAACATTGTAGCAGATAGGTCGGATAAATTGTACGTCGACGGCAACACGATTTTCGCGTGTTTTTAATTAATTAATTATCACGGATGAAGCATCAAGATCATTTCGAAATGCTCGATTCCACTACTGGTAAATTGAATTACATTCAACTATGCCGCATCAAACAATCGTATATTTACCACGCAATTTATAAATCTAATACAGTTTACGCAAAACATTATTTAACCAAAAAAAAAAATAAAATAAAATAAAAAATCCTTTAACCAACGTTCTCGACGAAAAATACGTTCGACGCACGACGTTTGCATCGCGTAAATATTGTCCAGACGATAAATCCGTAACTGTCTCGTAGCCATGGTTATAATTGTTAAATAAAACACACGGCAACGGTAAGTGTAAATTTCCAGGCAAACCGCTTTTTCCCCCTCCCTTTATCACGCGCATGCACGGAACGGGGGATACTACGCATGAATCTTGAATTTCAATCACAGATTGTCTGTCTCGGTTCGTGTGAGCTGCATTACAATTCTCGTCTTTTTTTTTCTGCCTGTACTGCCTTCCATTTTATTTCGCGGGGCGTCGAAATCCCCCCCCCCCCCCCCCCGCCCCGACTAGGTTCACAAAACACTCAGCGTCCGGTGAAAATCATTGCTCGGTTTTCACAGTCGGTATAACAATTCGCTCAAATGCGTCGAATTAAAAAAAAACTAAAATAAAAAAATGGTGGAACGCGCATCGGGAAATACGGATTTCCGGTTGAAAATCCGCCCGTTCGCCTCTACGGTGTACTCTGGCGCACGCTTGTGCTTGTGACACGATTATTTTTACCGATCTATTGCACCCTGCACACTGGACGAGCAAACTCGGCCTCGACTAAGGGAAAATACGGCGTAGGGGTAACGGCCCCTCCTACCATTTGGTAAATTTATTTCAAGTAACTGAAATCTATATATACACATGACGCCTCGAAGACGCCCATTTTACAGCTATTTTAAGTCTAAGGCGCGTTTAAGCCGTCTTCGAGGCGTCATGTGCTATCTGGGAAATATTCGTTAAGTGTGAAACTGGACAAATATCAAAACGAAAATTTTGACATTTATTAACTCTCGTCTGGCGTCAGATTTCAGTATCAAGTTAGGTTAGCTTGAACGATGCATCTTCGGCTACTTCATAAGTCATATCGTGACCTTAATAAGCAAACCTCGTAACTGAACTTTTGGCTAATTTTAGGGTCGCCCAAAGCACTTCACATAAATACGTTTTACTAAATAAGTCTGCAACTCCTATCGATTAAATAAAGTTCATTCTGTAATTTAATAAGTTCTATTAATTCAAGTAAAATAGTGTTACGAGTTTTACTTATTAAGATCACAATATTTCGTTCTTAAAATATCTTTCTTAGTTTCATTGGTTGACCCATTTTTCTGGAACTATGGAACAGTGGAAAATTCATGTGTTGAATGAATATGAGTTTCGCCATGGAACCACAGTGTCAGAGACAGTCCGTAATGTCAACGCTATGTTCGGTGAAGGATCCACTAATAAAGCATGTGCGGTGAGCGATTGGTTCAAGAAATTCGAAGATTGGAATTTCAACCTTACCAATGAGTTACGTGGAAGGACAAAGTCATAAGTGGATAATGATCACAGTGGACTCTAACTATATTGCCACTAGACATATTGCCACGCGAGGCACTTCCCCTTCACACGTACTTTCGAGTACAGAATTTCAGTTTCAGAGTTTCAGTTTTTGCGCAGGCGCTGAGGCCGAGACTATGGCGATGGAACTTATCAAGGAGAGGGCTCTGAACTCATTGCCATTTTACTCCCCTACAGCCCTGACAGATGGCAATATAGAGCAAGTCCACTGTAGTTTCATTTAAATAAAATTATAATGTTCATGAAACCTCTGTAAATAACAATTTAATAAAAGTTCAAATACCCTATTAAGTATGTTCGATAAAATCAAACAATTGTCATATGGAACAGTTTTTCGTATTTTCAATAGTTAGAGAAATAATATCATATATACACTTAAACCGGACATATTGTAAAGACGTAACGATACAAGTCATCTCTTTTAAAAGATCTGTGACGATAGAACTTAGCATGTAGGGGATTCTGAACTCATGGCCATTTTACTTCTCTGCAGCCCCGACTACGGCAATATAGTGAAAGTCCACTGTACCTGAGAGTCGTAGTAGAGTCCTATCCGTCTAAAAATACGCGTGAAGAGGTATGAATATTCGGGATCTCCATACACACTAAGTCTGTTCCATAAAAAAGTGACCAAAACATAATAAAAATTAAGAAATAGGTTGGAGGCCTTTGTTCTATGACGTTTTTTCTCCTAGTGGAAGCCGAGTGAACTCGTCAGTGTACAGATTTATTTTTTCGATAGTTTAGCGAGAACAACGTCGTTTCTCTCTCTCTCTCTCTCTCTCTCTCTCTCTCTCTCTCTTCTTTGTTCTCCCTTTTCAGTACACGGATCTGAGCTACACGACCTACCCGAATTTGGCCAAGACGGTGTTTGCGATATTCATGGTCCTGGTGCCTATATTGCTGTTGAACATGTTGATCGCGATGATGGGTAACACGTACGCGCACGTCATCGAGCAGAGCGAGAAGGAGTGGGTGAAACAAGTAACTATTTATCGTATAGCATAATTAACTCTTGATTTCAGGAATTAGCATATACAGGGTGTTCCAAAATAGCTTCGACTTCTGGAAATGAGGGGTTCTTCGGATGATTTGAAATAACATTTTCCTTAGCGAAAATGTTATTCGAGGCTTTGTTAACGAGATATTAACGAAAAACCCCGACCAATCAGAACTTGGCCGGCAGACTCGCGCTCTGATTGGTCGGGGTTTTTCGTTAATATCTCGTTAACAAAGCCTCGAATAACATTTTTGCTAAGGAAAAACTTGTTTCAAATCACCCCACGAGTCTCCGATTTCCGGGACCTCCAACATTTTTGTTACACCCCGTATATTATGGCTGGTTAGAAAAGAATTAAACATCGAATTAGTGAGTAAATATACAGGGTGGGGCAATAACTATGTCCAATTTGAATATTGCCTGTATTTGTAATAATATTAAAAGAATGATATATACAAAACTTACACCGTATAGAGGAGAGCATATTGTGACACAAATATTTTCTGCGTGGGTGAAGGCATAAAGGAGATTCCAAGGTCATCTCTATTTTTTTTAATGGAATGCTATGTCTTTTTTATCGCGATGTGATAGTCGGTGTTGAGACGACTTCAGCGAGCTATTATTGAAGGTCATGCAAGGTCAAATATGGTAGTAAAATAAACTTATGTCTTATCGTTTCTGAACTTATTCTAGCACATGCTGCAATTATCCGTTGTTTCATATTTTCTGGTGTAGTGGGTACTTCCTGATAAACAGCATTTTTCAATGCTCCTCAGAGAAAAAAATCTAAAGGGGTTAAATCTGGAGAACGAGGTGGCCAAGAAACTAATCCTCCACGTCCTATCCATTTATTTGGGTAAAGTTCGTTCAGTGCATCTCTTACTCTCCGAGCATAATGTGCTGGACACCCGTTGTGCTGTAACCACATCAAATGGCGAACGTTTAGTGGTACATTTTCTACTAAAGTCCCCTATGAAATAATACAGCATGTGCTAGAATAAGTTCAGAAACGATAAGACATGCACGTGATGCAGCGATACAAAGATTGCAACTTTGCATTGACGCAGACGGTCACCACTTCGAGCATCTCTTGTAATGTAAGAAAGTTTATTTTACTACCACATTTGACCTTGCATGGCCTGCAATAATAGCTCGCTGAAGTCGTCTCAACACCGGCTATCACATCGCGATAAAAAAAACATAGCATTTCATTAAAAAAAATAGAGATGACCTTGAAATCTCCTTTATGCCTTCACCCATGCAGAAAATGTATGTGTCACAACATGCCCCCCTCTATACCGTGTAAGTTTTGTACATAACATTTTTTCATATTATTACAAAGAACGGCAATATTCAAAGTGGACATTGTTATCGTCCTACCCTGTATATACAAGGTGATCCACAGACTACTTGTTGACCCTGAATGACTTCTAAAGTATGCATTGTATGAAAAAACTTTTTCTAGAAAAGTTGTATGGTTTGGAGGGATATATTATGTAATACATATATTTTTTTTGTAAGTGGAGGTGTTTCGGAGATTTAAAAGTCAATATATATATATATATATATATATATATATATATATATATATATAGATAGGCACGCAATGTTTGGGGATATCCTTGGTTAGTTTACTGTAGGTCAACAACCAGGGAATGGGATTAATGGTGTCGCCAGCTATATTCAAATCTGATAAAATATAGACGATAAATCGGGCAATTGAGAAGAGTGGTGGGCTCCCTGGCCTCGTTAAAAATAGAAAAAAAAATGTGACGCAGGAAAAAGATTGGATGACGTGACAAGATATATTTATTTCTGTAGCCCATTTTATATGGAATCGCAAGTTTTAGTAATAGATAGGCATGAATTATTTTTGGATATTTTGCTGAGGACGGTTAATAATGATAAAGTCAATACCTTTATGATCTTCAGACAGCATTAACGTTAGATTACTAAACTATGCTGTGACTTACGTTACTACTAACCGTTCGTAAAAATTGTGATTGAAAGAAAACACGTAATAGTTTAGAAGGATATTATTTTTCTTGAGATAGAAATCCATATTATAAGTATTTATTATATCTAGACTTAAAAATAATGAAAAATTAAGATGGTAATTATTCAGCACAACGTTACACACACGCTGACAACATTGACTGCAACGTGCAAATTTTTGATAGTTTAGTAATCTAGGGTTAAGCTAAAATTCATATTGATTGTTGAATCAAATTGTTTTACTCACTTATCATATTTTTAAGATTCACTTATCAATATTTTTTCTCACTTATATAATAACAAAGTAGGTAACAATCATTTTTTTTGTAAAATGTGTCCTTGTTTGGGCAATAAGTATACAGCATGCATAAGAAACGTCAATAAATTTTGATGACGCGAAATATGACGAAAGAAAAAAATGTTTCTGTTTAATTGTGTACTTTTCAAGTGCATGTTAAGTAGTATAACTTATTAATAGCAAGTAAAATAAATTTTTTCATAAATATTGCTTTAATTTCATTGGAAATAAGTAAAAAAGTATAATAATCAGACGACGAGTATACTCGGTAAATGTTTCCTCGAATATTTTAGCAAATAGTTGTGCGAAACAAGTTCGTCACACGAGCATCGTTACATGCACATGATCACTACTGTTTTACACTGAACTATTTTTCTTTTACTTCCGTGGTATTAAAGGTATTCAAAGTTGTAAATTTTATTGGTTCATCTCTTATATTGGAACGATAGAGTAATGTGTTCAAGTTACAGAATTTTAATTTATTTATTACTGTTCATGATAAATATCGAGTTAGTAATGGCTAAGAAAAAAAAAGATACAACTTCATTGGCTTTTGGAGCGTAAGCTCCAGTTCACAGTAGTTCTTAGTGCTGTAGAGAAGTTCTGTTTCTTGGCTGAGATGATTTTGTAGAAGCGAGACTATTGCGTTGAAGCCTTAATTGTACTAACATAAATTACTGTAATATCCTAATAATTTTATAGGGAATAAAAGTTGAGGTATATAATAAATTTCAAGAATCATAAATCGTACAAACGTGACTTTTTCGAAATACTAACACAAGTGGAACTTCCACCCAATGGATGGACACGTTACCGCAATTTTATTGAATCTCACACATATACAATGCACTTTTCTTCATCTCTTTTCTCAATTTTATTTTCTAGTTGTAACTTTCACGTTATTTACTTGACTTAACGGTTTCGGATTATGAAAAGTATTCTGGGACACATTCGATTAGCGTATATGTGATATTTCGGTTCTGCATTTTCTTTACAAAGAACGTATTTAAATTTAGTTGAACAGACATACACCAGAAAATTATTTAGAAATTAATTTTTCTGCACTTTGTTCTACAAAACTGAGACGCAAAATTTAATAATTGAAACTTTTACTGAACTAGAAGGATAAAAGTTTCACGTTTCCTTGTTCATTCTTTTGACAGTTTCTTAAAATGGATTCGTTTTTATTTTTTTTTATTACTATTCAATTCAACTTCTTTTAAATAAATTACTCTCCAGTAAAAGAATTTACAAAAAGATCACTAGAAAAATGTATGGCTTTTTTAGAATATCTCATTTTATTGAAATTCGTAAAATATAGTTATTATTGATAAAGCGGTAAAACATAATTGTTATTTTTCAGAGTTGTTAGGTTTGTAAAACATAGTTGTTATTGATGAAGTGGTAAAAACAGCACACAACATTAGGAAATTCGTAAAACATATTTGTTATTGATAAAATACTAAAAACATCACGTATTATAATAGTTCACGTACGTCATCAGGAACCTGTATAGTGAACAGAAATAAAATTATTGCATCTATATTTACGAAAATTTTAAAAAACACCGTATATCTGTAAACATTTCCTGTCTAACGACTTTTATATTGAAAAAAATATTCACCTAGTGAAGGCACTACACATAATTATAATTACCTAATTTTTACCGAGAATGTAACAATTTTGCTTTAAATTCTGTTATCTTCTAAAAAATCGTCACATTTTATTCTAGATCTCCCGATTTTATAGATAAAACTGCAGATGGTCCATACCTTTCCCGTCCGAACTTTCGTTGACGAGGAATTTCCCATTAAACTGTTTAACTACTTTTAGTGGGCGAAAATTGTTGTCTCTCTGGAGCGTGCAGTGTCGCAGAAAGATGCACAGAACTATTTACAAGAGTACAGTATCAAACTGGGACCTGGAGATGACCCGAACAATCCCGCCTCCGAGCAACGCGGAGTTCTAGTTATTAAATGTAAATCAAAGACCAAAGCGAAACAACGGAAGGGCGCCGTGGCCAATTGGAAGGTAATTTTTTTATTACAGTTTTACTTTTTTGTTTCATTTTCTACTGTTAAATAAATAATTATTGTTAATCAATCGTTAATTAGATTATTTTTAAAAACATTCATTAATTGACTTTCACACGTTTGTTACCGTTAGACTGTGTAATAAATTGATTCGTGTTTCTTTACAAAAATATTAAGTGTCACTAATTTTATATAAAACTTGCCTAATCAATCGTGTATGTACCATTTTGTTCTATAATTTTCTGCCATCTTTTGAATAACTGAAGTACTCATTTACTACGAAAATGTTCGTTTATTTTAGTAAAAACTTTATAGTCGTTTTTTCTTACTTTCAAAACTAGCGGAAATAATTTAGGTGTTCCAGTTAAAATTAACACCCTGTATATATGAAAGTCGTAAATTTTCAATAAAAGAATTAATAATTATTCTTAACCTACCGTTAACTATTTTCTTTTTTTTAAATTGATATCTGCCCTAGATACCGGTTGAAGGAACAATATTGCCTTCGGTATTATACGTTGAATTTGTTGATACTATTGTAACAGTAACAGGTGTAATGCAGTTGGTAATTCCAGTTTCGATTCGGCTCGCTGCTTTCTGAATTGCGTGATTTATACTTACAGCGTGTTGGTAAAGTTACAATAGCTGAATTGAGGAAACGCGGCATGACTGGCGAAGAATTGCGACGGATAATGTGGGGACGAGCATCATTTTCCACGCCTGTTAGAATAAGGTACTATCATCTATGTAAAGTGTAAAAAAAAAATGAAATCATCAAAATAATACATATAATTATTTCATATATTTCATTTTATGTACAGTGAGAGTCAAAACTAAGTATACACCTTACAAGGGTGTGGTTTTCGTATAATATTTCTTTCATTTTATGTACAGTGAGAGTCAAAACTAAGTATACACCTTGCAAGGGTGTAGTTTTTGTATAATATTTTTTTCATTTTATGTACAGTTAGAGTCAAAACTAAGTATACACCTTACAAGGGTGTGGTTTTCGTATATTTCTTTTATTTTATGTACAGTGAGAGTCAAAACTAAGTATACACCTTACAAGGGTGTGGTTTTCGTATAATATTTCTTTCATTTTATGTACAGTGAGAGTTAAAAGTAAGCATACACCATAACAAGGGTGTGGTTTTCGTATAATATTTTTTTCATTTTATGTACAGTTAGAGTCAAAACTAAGTATACACCTTACAAGGGTGTGGTTTCCGTGTAATATTTCTTTCATTTTATGTACAGTGAGAGTCAAAACTAAGTATACACCTTACAAGGGTGTGGTTTTCGTATAATATTTCTTTCATTTTATGTACAGTGAGAGTCAAAACTAAGTATACACCTTACAAGGGTGTCGTTTTCGTGTAATATTTCTGTAATATTCTACCACTGTAAGGTCAGGGCAGTGATACAGTTTGATATGATTTTCTTAACATTTTCGAGACGAATAGGGAGCCAAAAAATTCGAGAAAAAGAAATTCGACGATATAACCAGAAAATTTGGTAAATATCGTTAAACGTGGTAAATGTACTATTATGGTTTAGGACAGCAAGGCAACCTCTGGTGTAGGACAGTTGATTTTTATTCATGGTAGTATGGGCAAATTTGGATGTTTAAATATTTTAAAATTCAACTCTGCTGCAAGTATATTCATGGGTCTTTTAGTGAGATCACGACCCAAAATATACAGCAAAGGTGATTGGAAATTGTTTGCTGGAAAACATTTACAACCACTTATCTCCTTCTCCACAGTCACCAGTGTTCAATCTAATACAGCATCTATGTAAAATGTTAGATTCTAAATTGAGAGAAATAAATATGAATGAATCCAATGCTTCCAAAGTGTATGCTCACTTTTGACTCTACGACCACGAAAAAAGTGACCAAGTTCAAATGTGTGTAGATCTTTATGTAGATGTCGTTAAGAAATGGTTTGAAAGTGTAGAGACACTACTGTACTTATGAGCAGGAGGTTAAGTGGAATTTGAAAGATGTAATAAGATCGATCATTGCTTGCACAGCCCAAGTGTAGAGCAGCCACAGGTATCGGCAGTGACCGCTGGTTTCGGGGACGCTTTGACTACTGCCTTGGATATGATGGCGTTCGCCCATGATATCGACTTAACCACTGCCACGGAAGGAATTCCAACCAATACAGATGCAAAACAGTTAAAAGCTAAGGTTCTCAATGACGAGCACACGAATGCAACGTCGAACAATCAGGCAAACGTGTCGACGAACGTTCCGAGCATTAGCGAACCCCTTGTTGTTGTTACGGATGAGAAGCAAAATGATCGAAGTGATTTAAACAAGAAGCCGCCTCAGCCTGTCGACATTCAGAAAATGAATCTGAAGAATGCAAGTCGTGAGTAGAGATAATTTCAAAAACCAATATCGTTAGACGTTCACTCTTTGAAGCATGGTGGTAAGAAAAGTGTACAACATTCCGAACTGATTATAAAAATGTTGCATAGTGTTGTTCTTATGCTACTAGATGTTTAAAATGTACAACTAGTTCTCCTTACACTGACAAATGGCATCTGTGTATAATCCTGCTTCTGATTCCTTTTTTTTAGGTAGGAAACTTCTTTAAATTTAAAATTATGTTTTTCAATTATTTTATGGTGAAATGGCTCAAATATTCTAAGGCTTTGGGAAAAATATATTCACATAAAAATTCGTGCTTCAAAGAGATAATAGATCACTGTACCTAATTATTTCGCAGAATGTAACTTTTTATTTACCTACATGAATAAGGTTATCACTTTATGTAGATTCCCACTTTTGTAATTTTATCGAAACCAATACAAGATTACATCAAAATTTATTTTGTCTACTGTAGGTTCTATTATATGGCAAGCAAAGCAAACATTCTACTGTTTACGAATATTGTTTATACTTTAACGTATTCTACACATTCCCATTTGTTATAAATGCATAAAATCTCCAGGTGAAAAATATTATTTTAAATCAGACGTCAATTTTCGGAAAGAATAAATATATTTTTAAGGACAGTACAATTTTGTTGAAAATATAATTTTGTTACAGTTTGTTCGACAAAATCGTGAATGTTTTACGAGTTCAAGTGACTGTTAGTACAACATGGGCGCGTGAATGATATTTTACGATAAAAATACAGTTCTGCAACTCTCTTGGAGAAATGTTTAAAGTTTTCGCCTTAAATTTCTCGAATATGGCCGTTTTTTTGGGAACGAAGGGAGAGGTGGAAAGTTGTGTAAAGGCTGTATAGAAGTTGTATATAAATGATACCATCGAGGTTTAAAGTTTGTTGAGCGTGAATTTGAATTTTTTCATGTAAATCTACGATCGTTGTGTGCCAGATATGGTCACTCACTTTGATACTCGGAGAACATTGTGTTCGATGCTCAAATCTGATATCGAATGTATGTTTAATCATACTACAACCATGGTGACGTTTCATTTAAACTATTTTTTCAAACAAATGCTATGGCCATATTTTTTTGCAATACTACAGATATTCGGTGAATGCACAGATATAGATTTAATTTTCATGAAAATAGAGTTTTTTGCAAAAACATATTATTCTGTTCTGTTGTACCATGATACACCCTGTATATTAGTTTGGAATTATAAAGAATGTCGAAATTTTTTATTCATTCGATACGGTTATTTCAAGAATATAACAGAAATGAAAGGATGATTGGTCATAGCATAAAGTAGATATGTAATATTTACAGCATCTATCCTATTTAATCTTGTTAACTATGTTCAAATTAAGTTAGTATAACGTTCATTTCGGGTTCTGTTTTCAAAGTGATCATTAAAAGTGGCATTGTCATTTTAATACAAATATCGTAAAAAATGAATGGTATTATTTAAAATGAATATTTTATTATTATACATTTATTATTAAATAAAAGTAAACTTAAAAAAATTATATATTTATTATCAAATAAAAGTAGATACTGCATATCAAATTCTTAATTGAATAATATTGAATTAATAAAGGCGGCGATACTGTTTTTGCATCCGAGCAGCCAACAACCCAGGTACGGTCCTGTGTATTTCAGTAGACTCGACTAAAAAGACAATTTACTACGGTCTGGACAGATCCGTAGAAGACTATATCCGATGTTTATTGATTCGGTATTTTCAGTACAGTGAATAAATACTGCGTTCCGCAATGTATTCCTCGTTTTAACGAGCTCCGAAATGTACCATGACAATCATTCAATATTTTTATATGTATACTCTTGTCCTAGATCCAACCGCCGAGGATGTCCAGGATCCGTTATTGGATCTTGTGATTGCCTCTGAAAATACGACTGATCATGAAATCCTGTTGAAAATGGCCCAGTGCGCCGCGGCCAGTTCCGAGGTGTCAGTGGAGCCGAAAATAAATTTGCAAATTTTGGAACAGTTCACCATGATCAAGATACCCGTGGAGGAAGTTCCTGTCGTTAAAAAGCAATATTTCGTTGAGTCGAGCGACAATGATTTCGGCGGTAACTCTAAACCGTACATTGTAGCTTTCATTATGTTTCGCTTAATTTTAAGATGTTTTTTTATTTATTATTATTTTTATTTATTATTTTTTGTATTTACAAGATTTTGTATGGCGACTAAAAGTAATGATTATTTTGATAATTTATTGAAAATTATTACTATGCATATATGTATACGGGTGTCTTGTGCATCGAGGAAAAAGTCAACTTTATTGTATTACGTGTACCTATCACACATTTTATAAGCATAAATAACAGATTGTCCACATGACCTGGCAAAATTTTTGGTTCAAGTGACAATAGAGTGCGTACTCGTGAAATAGTAAGCTTATATTTTAATATAAATCCTTTTTCACACAGCCTCTGTTTTCAGGAAATGCAATTTAAACATTCATCAAACGTGTTTATGTTTCTTTTTAATAACGTCTACTGTACGTAAAACTAAATCATTTTTATAAAGCCTGTTTCTCTTGATTCTATCACAAATTTCGTTATATGTACACTTAATTCTGTTTTTCCACGGATTTTTCACACAGGCTGGTAAAAATATAAGTTCTCTTTTTGCACAATTTTTTTTTATCTAACACAGTCATATACACAGGTCATATTTTTTTGTCCAATTTTTCTGTTCATTAATTGACGACATATTATTTGCTCTACAAATGCAATAAAAACACTTTAGCATTTGCTTTAAAATTTATTCTATCGTTGAAATCGAAATACATACTATTCATTTATTCACTTCGCAAAATACCATAAAACATATTATTCACTTTCTATACCTATGTTGTAACCTACATATTTTTAACCTATAAAACTATATGTTTTCACTCTATATAAACCAAATAAAGATTTAACATAAATTTTTATGTAGTTCGAACACATTCTAATCGGTTTATTGCATTATTTTCAATGGCTTTTATGGTCCAACAATAAATCTCCATTTTTCATATGCATATCTCTTTTTACGGAATTTTGTTACACAAAACTTTTTGGGAGGCGTGTCTATAATGCCTTAAAGACGCCTATTTTACGGCTATTTTAGGTCTAAGACGCCTTTAAGCTGTCTTCGAAGCATCATGTGCTATCTGGGTATTGTAAAAACGGAATGAAGTGTAGTTAAAATCGTGAAATTCTTCTTTTACAGGATCTTATTCTTTTAAATCATTAAGCGTCCTACTGTTAATTAGTGCTATTAACGGAGGTCTCACTGTAACGACGTTATTTTTTCTTCGTATTAGTTTTTAAAAGATTTCTGTACCAACGATGTGCTTACGAAAATTTATCGTCTTACTATAGGCAACAACCTGCTCGGGACCGAGGCCCGTTTACGCAGAATAAGATCAGCGAACAGCAGATTTATCACTACACGAAGACGCCCAGGGCACGGCGACGGTGATCTGTCATCGTCGTCTTCCACATCCGCCGACGGAAATCCTCGATACCAGCCGTTGCTCAACGATCCTGAAGAGAAACCGACGAACCGTCAAATTGACGGTCGGGACGGGTCCATTGAAATAATTAAGTCAGAAGTAAAACCGAACGGGACATGCATTTCGTCGAAGAATAAAGCACAGAAACGTCGTCCCAAAACGGCTAGAAACAGGTGAAAAAATTGCATTCTTTCTTTGGTAATTATTGGACTGCGGATTTTAGGCATTTACCCAGATAGCACCGTACATCCTAAGGACGTCCGTTTTATGTCCAGTTTATATCCGAATGTCCTACGTCCATTTTGGACATCACTAGGACGTTCGTAAGACTTAAATTGCGAATGTTCTAGAAACGTCCGTCTCAAAAGTCCTACGGATGTTCTCAACACTTAAATTGCGAATGTTCTAGAAACGTCCGTCCCAAAAGTCCCACGGATGTTCTCAGGATTTAAATTTTGGATGGTTTTGTTTAGTATTTTTGCCAACATCATTCCGTGCAAGGTGATAGAACCCCATGAACAAGGCGTCAGTCTTTAAAGAATCAATAGAAAAGTGTAACGACACTAGTGGTTTTGTGGGAAAACCTCAAGAAAGTTGAAAAAACATGTTTTTTCTTAAACTGTCTCTAACCAACACAGAATCAGAGTTTTGCTGTGAAAAATAGAAATAAACACAATGTACTTGGAGATCATAATCCCTAGACCTATATTTTTATTATAATTCCTTATAGGAAATTTAACCTTTTATTTATTAACAGGAACTAACTAGATCTAATTTCTACTAAGTGCAGAAATCGCAGGAAAGTTAATCTTTTATTTGTTAAATACAAACCAACCTAACCTAACTCCTGTCACCTTGCACAGAATGAAACCTAACCGCAATTTTAAACATTTGGGAAATGTTTCTCATACGTCTTTTAAGACATTACCATAGCGTTTTTAAAATCTCTTTAAATGTTTCCAGAACGTATAGGGAATGTTACTTTTACACATTCGAAAAACGTTCTGAGAATGTTGACACAGGACGTCCTCAGGACGTTCCACTTTGTAAATAGGACCTTCCTAGGACATTTGAAGATCTTAACGAGGACTTAACGGGGATATATGGGCCTTTTATACGTGCAAAAACAGCGTTGCCAAACGTACCAGAAACAAGCACCGTGGAGTCATACGACTAACCAAAATATATTTTTTATTTACATTATAATGATGAATGATAAATGGAAATGTCGTTGAATTTCATAGATGAAATTATTATACATTATTAAAATGTATTAACGGGTGTTTAATACCAATTATTGATATGATGCTTTGTTGACTAGAGAATCAAGAAATTCCTACTTTTATTCTTGTCTTCAAGAATTGCTTTATAAAATTTTATTTTGTATAATAATCCGCAGTCTAGTAATTATACAGTTGCGGGCGAAGAATTAACCATTTTTCTGATTCTTTATATTTTTATTATTTCTTAAAAATAACACAAGACCTTAATATATTGGGTATTATACAGCTTTTAATTCTCTATCACAGTATACATTAAATACATACTAAAGTTTCAAGTTGATGTTAAAAAATAATAAATATAAAACAAATGGAAAAAGTGGTAATTTTTTTGCTCGCTACTACTGTATATCATACTCATGCAAGAAAAGTGTCACAAGTCGAAAACGTGTAATTTTTCAAGAGAACGAAAAGAAATGATTCATTACATAGCAATTTCATGTATTAAACAAAGTGATATTTGTGCCATCTCGCTTGAAGTATTGGACTTGACCTTGTGACATTTTTCTGGCTGGTGGATCTACGTACAGAAGATATTTCACGGAATAAAAATGAAAATTTTTGATCTGTGTGACACATTTCTCGCGAAGGTGCAATATGTATTGCAATCTACCATTCAAAATTTTGGAAGTAGTTAAGTACAATTTCAAAAAGTCAAGATACAGATTTTTTTATTACAGAGGATCGTATACCATAAAAGCCTATATGTGTATTTATATTTATCATACATAACAAAACTAACCTAAAAATAACAAAAAAACTTATACTTATCAAATTTTTGTTTCTTCGAAATGACCACTTTTATTTTAAATAAGTTCCAATCAACTTCTGGGCGTCCTACTTATAAATATCCAAAAATATTCTTTATCTAAATTTTTTCATTCTGTTGAAAAATACTCCCAGAATTGTGACACACAAGCAGAATATGACAACTAAAGAATTTGTTAGAAATGGGATTAAAAATAGATTTGTTTCTGTAGACTGGTGAAAATGTGCAGGAAACTTTTTTACAAGCATTTACTTTCAACAAATTTACAAGCGATGATTTATTTAAATAAAAAATAAGACTGTTCACACTTTTGAAAGGTAGTGTGTATTAACCCATTGAGCCGGTAGTTATACACTAATAAATTTGTAGCACAGGTGGTTATTATTATAATTTGGATGAATTCATTGTTTCGTGGTGATGTTATCAAAGTATCATAAAATGAAAACTACTTGTCCGATTAACTTCAAATCTTGAAGGCTTACTAATAAAACAGTGGACATCAATTTTATACAGGGTGGGCCATGAAAAGTGATCAGCTTAGATTATTCCACTGCTATCTGTTCGATTGAAAATTTTTTCGGCTCGTATAACTACTGATACTAATACACTATTAACAATTGTATAAATACTAATAAACTATTCCCTCCAAAAATGAATAAAAAATACAAAAAGTAATAAAAAATACGTTTGAACTTCAAAATAACAAAATACAACAATATATGTGTATCGGTCTCGTAATTTTGAAGTAACGATTTAAAGGTTTGGGTGTTAAAGGGTTAACTATAAAGAATGTTTACGTGCCAGTAGTACGTTTTTCGTTTCCGATCTGTTTTCATGGTAAGCGGATTAATCATTCCGGTTTGGGGTACCTTATGAATGTTCTTTATATTACGCTCTGAGCATGTTTTTCTTGGAGAGATGTTGCGGGACAGGAACTCATTGTTCACAGGACTGCTTGGCTTGAAGTACATCACGTGTTGCGTCGATTGCTTCATTTAGAAACCTGGAATTGTGGCAAACGAACCACGTACCTGTTTTTATTCACTGGTGAAAAGGACTTCCGTTGTTTAAGGCGGAATTGTACAGAATGTTTCAAACCTTGTAGTTTCATCAAAACAGTGAAAAATGTGCTCTATTTGACTTGGTTCTAAAATTATAAGCATTCCTGTAGTTCAATCATTCTCCATGACTGAGTCAGTATAATTGATTCTAAATAATACAGGATGTTTCAGATTTTGGTCTCATCGATCACGTGGGTCGATAATTGATATCCGTGCGGACATATCATACGCGCCACAATATTTAATAATTAATATTTTCGGGCAAAAGTTTATATACAATTGTTGTCATCTACTTGGCCTTATTAGCACGTGGTATAAGTTTGGCCCTGACTGTTTTGAACACCCTGTACTTATTCCATGACTGTTGAACCGTAGCCACAAATGACGCGATCATTTCATAAGTAGTAAAAACAGTAATATCTGAAACTGAAAGCGCGTGGGTCCGACCATTTTACGTAATGAACGTCGTCGAACAGTAAGGTCAATGTCCGTATTTCTAATCATATCCCGATTTCTGCTCAATACTCATATTTTTCATTTAATATATAGAGATAAATGAAAAATTAATTATACAAAAAATTATTTCAATTAGTTCAGTATTTCCGTAGAAAATGCTACAGCTTGCTGTTCAATAAATGGCAGCATATTGATAGAAATAAATTTAATAAGTGGTGAAGAAACGTGATTTAAAAAAAAATTGTTGATGAAAAAAAAAACTTACGTAATCTTTAATATTGTCCGCCAAAATTTTGGTCTTGGCACTTGCATATTCGCTGAGCAGAAATAGGGACATTCTATACTTCATGTTAAATTAACTATTATTAAGTTAAAATGTTTTTAAAAATACGTTTATTTAAATTTAATTATAAAGGGCGGTTTAAATTTTATATCTAATAAGTTCTTTTGTCGATTGTTGCATAAATAAGTAGCCTAGTACCAATTACTGTTAGCATTTTGATGGGCCTTTGATGCACTATTGGTTAACCATCAGTTAGAATTCTCTCTCTTTTTTGCAACTGGGCCAACAATCATACCCAACGTAGGACCCCACGTCACTATACCACGAAGGACCAACTAGAGGTTTCTTTCTGTAGGATCAATTGTTGAGTATCTACAATAAACCAACAATAGGAAGACAATTGGCTATACTATACTTCCATAAAATCTTTTACAAATATTTAAAGGAGCATAACACTGGAAATAATATTTATAATAATTATGTATATGTACATTAAACAGGTAAACAAGTGTTTTACCAGCAAAGTTACCTTTACAATTTATTATGTACAATTTATACATGTAGCCAATTATTACAAATAATTATTATAAGTTATTTCCAATCTTCTGTCCCCTCACTCTATTTCCACAAAATTTCAAATGTCAAACGTGTTGCGCGACAGTTACAAATTGTGAGTATATTCATAAATAAGAAAACACAAAAATCAATTTGAAATATAATAACAAGTTTTTGGTTGTCGCAACGTTTCCGTCGTCTTTAAAACGATATTTAAATGTTGGCAAACTTTGGGTGATCCAATGTTGTAGTATCATTGTAAGTTTCTTATTAATTAACCAACTATAATAATTGTAGGCCTAGAATTGGATATTCGTTGGTAAATTGTGACAACTTTTTCGTCGTTGGCCCTATTTTGGAAATTTGTAAGCAAAAACGCTAACTATATCCCAACTATCTCCCAACTGTTGGATACCGTTGACCAACCATAAATACTACTAGGGTAATAAATATCAATTTCTGTGATAGCAGAATACTTACATGATTAGAAATAGGGACATTAACCTTAATCTTCTTCTCGATTTAATAAAATTCCGTCGTGTGTACGCACGAATGCCGATTTACCAACGAAAGTACAGAAAATACAGAATTTCCTGTTGCTGGCCAGGAAAGAAATTACAACATAATAGTCGAGTTACATAGATTCGTTGTGTTCGTGGTATAAGTCACGACGTTACACCGATTCTGAAACACTGGCACGGTGCACAGTATCAACAATCGATTGCGCCGACATGCCGGGACTGTGGAACACGCAATATCGGAACATAGATTTCATATTTAGATTTGTCGATGTTTCCCTTGCCGTACTTTCTATCCCGAAGTCGAGAAGCCTTGCGGGCACGTTCGTTCTTTCATCTAAGTTCCCCTCCGAGAACTGAATTAAAACCAGTTTCCGAACTTTCGAATTTTATTCTTTACGTGACCGTCGCGGTATTACGAGCTGCAACTTAAAACAACATATTCGTCGGCGTGATTGTTCATTAGTAGTTTGAAGATTTTATGCATTTATCGAAATTCAGTAATAGTGAATGTTTCGGAAAGTTTGTTTGGATTTTCCTTCTATTTCGAACTAGGTAAATAAAGTTTTCTTTGCGTTCAGTTACGACAAATTAATCCATTAAATTTTTTATTCCTATAAATATCAACATTCATTAAAGTAATCACTAACGGTCTTCTAGAATTTAATAATATAGCTGGATTCATAGAAAAAAGAAAATACAATGTTGCCATTTAGACCGTTTTTCTACCTCTAATGTTTTCCGAGATGGTCTACCAAATACATTTTACCACCCTAACTTTGAGGAATGTTTTCGCTACCCCAAGATGATAATCACAGCTAAAAAAAATACGTGTTAAATATTATCATGAGAACTACTTTCTGACGAAGTTGCATCTCAAATCAATGATTGCCACTTCGGTGTGTTCCCTTGTCAGAATTATAAACTACGGCGGGAAGATGTGAATTGAATACTGTTGGCCAACCATTAATGCTACTAGGGTATCTTTTGGTCTTTGCTACAACTTTAGCGTCGTTGAAGAGTATTTGGTGTCCTGTTGTCTTGTGGTGTTCTGCAACAGCTGATTGAATGCAGCCCAATCTGGTGCATCACTCGTGTTCCTTGAGTCGTGTGCTCGCATTCCTCCCAGTTTCGCCAATATAAACTTTTCCGCACGAGCAAGGTATTTTGTAAACTCCCGTAAAAGCTGTGGGCTGATCTTTGGGAGAGGTGAACATCCACTGGGTTTTGGTGTGTGTAGTAAATATGGTTTTTATTTTTTTATCGATCACTTGACCAATTAAAATTTCTTTTGATTGATAAGCAATGAACAGAAACATGAGCAAGCTCCAGTATGTTAGAGAAACACCACAAGGCACACCCGAATATCAGTTTGTCTTTCGACCCTCTGATGAAGCCAGCTGCAATGCTTGCGAAACGTTGGGAAAACAATTCCCACAAGGACATGGCTTACACCCGAAAGCCTCAACAGTGAAAACTGTAAGTCAGTTACAGGTGGGATGTATAATACAAGATATCTGAAATTGTACAAATCCGGAAACTCTACTGTACAATTTACATAAAACAATTCTACAAACCTCATTTTTCTTTTTGATATAAATATTCGGTACGTTTTCATTCTGGTTGTTATGAAATAACTTTTGCAACACACTAAATTATATAAAGATGAGCAATATTCGTACCATCATTGCTATTGTCATTTCAATTTACTAAATGTCAAATACTGCCAGTATTGCATAAATCTAAACATAATGAATCGCTACTTCGTTATTAATAATTCTTCAGATTAATACAATGAGACAATGAAATTGCAGCGTTAATTGGAACACGCCATCGTACCGTATGTTAACGTTCGATAAATACGATTGAAAATAACAAACGCGATATTGATTGCGAGACGGAGTATTTAAATGGCAAAAGCAATCAGTAACTGTTACAACCATTCGAAAGTAAATTGAAATCTTTTCCTTACCGTATTTCATAGTTATGAAATATAATGCTTCGGTAAATCTTGCACTTATATAGAATATTGAACAAGATAATAGAATAGAAAGCCATATAATGTAAATACATATTTCTGGAATTTCATAATATCTATTTTGTTTATTCTTATAACATACGCTGTTTCAGGGAATATTTTGAAAGAATATTCAGCCAAATGGTGGGTTAATAATACAGAACCTATAGTTAATGGTATAATATAAATATTGTATACATAATAAAATACAGGAATTAAAACTCTTAGCATAAAATCTTATTGACGAGAAGTATTTTTATAAAAAAAAAATACACGAATATTTTATGATTGTTAGTCACTGAAATTTGTAAAGTCTTTCGAATTCTCATCGAAGTCATCGAAATTTTTAAGACTTCGTTACTGATGCGGATCATCAGATTTCTTTATACCAAGAAAGCTTCATTTTGAATATACAATGCGAAATTTTATGAAAAAATTCTGAAACTTAAGTAGACAGCTATATACCATTACCTACAATTGTGCTGAACAGGTACTGACTTCTTTTGGCTTCATACAATTTTAGAATATTTAAAAAAAGTATGTCTGTGAGTCCTGTTTCATTGTCTGCACCAATATTTTCAGCAAGTTATATCACAGTAATGATCACAGTAGAACAATCTGTGAATACTCAGACATTTTGATTACAAAGCGATATTCTATTCACAATTAGGAAATTAGGGGACTTTTTCGAATTATTCGGTCTGATAATTCTTTCACCTTCAATTCACGAAAATGATTATACATATATTAGAAACATGAGTTTTAAATGATAAACGTATGTGTGTGTCAACTATTTTTGAGTGCTTGATCTTACAATTTCCGAACCCGAAAATTCTGATTTTGATGAAACTTCACATGAATGTATAACATATTGAACTATGCTTAGAGCAATTTCTTTTTTCAAATTGCAATTCATTTAGTAATATTTCGCACTATTTAATACTTTAAACCAATACTGTTTACTAAAATACGATCTAATAGATTCTATATACATATGTACATACCTACTTCAACAAAACAGGAGATTATTACAAAAATCTAGATCGTTAGAAACAATCATTTGAACATGGAAATAATTTTTTAAATAAAAGTTCTCACTATTGTCCTTTTCCTGAAGAAAGATTTCTCATCGGAAAATTCACGATAATTCGAGTTTCACTAAAAATTTCCAATTTTGAACATATATTCAATTTCATTTAATAATTCAGTATTAAACGAATTTAATTTTCGAACGAGCGATGTTTCATTAACAATATACGACATACTATAATTTTATACGCAAATCGTGACCTATGTTGGTAATTTTCATTCAGAAAAGTACAATGTATGATTTATGTATACCAACTTAACTTCTTTTTCTGTCTATTGAAGCAATTCGAATCTCAATAATGAGATTATTTTGCAGTACAATGTACGTTACATAATACGAAATAAGCATGACGTAAGACAAATTGCAGATATATTATATTTTTATATTGTTGGGTTGCAGTATTTTCTTACATTGTTAAGTTGCAATTTTTCCGCAGCGAATAAATAAAATTACGCATTGCTGCGGTAGATTCTGGGAGTAAGGTATTGCATGACATCGGAAGAAAAAGGTCTAATTCCTTTAATTGCTTTATTATTTTTAATTTTTGCTCTTCGAATATAAGACGTTGTCTATAATTATGACTGTTGTTACACCGATTAATTTAAAAGCATTAAATAGCACAACCAATACAAAAACACTGTACATTAATTTCTTGTCACTAGTTGGCGTATCGAAATTCTGACTGTCCTAATATACAAGGTGTCCCACCTAACTCTGCCAGCCTTAATTATTCTCTTATTTGTCACGGTAAAAAAAATGCTTCTGGAAAAAATTACTGTATTTTAGGGTGGACATTAGGCTATGAGATTGAAGGTCATCTCAAGGTCATATCTTCGGAGATTTCTCTAACGGTAACAGTTTTTTAAATGGAATGCCTTATTTTTTTGTATGCCATTACAAAGAGGAGGTCAAAACATATCCCACAATATATCACACTATAGGGTGACAACACATTGAACATACACTAAAATAATAAATAATGCGATTATGGTGTTTATTTTGTTTCTGCAATTCATTTTCTATGAGCTTCCTCCTCAATCAGTTACATGCACAATTTTCAGCCCAAGGTCATTTCAAGGTCATAGTGTGATACATTGTTGGATACGTTTACGTAATGGCATACAAAAAAATAAGGCATTCCATTTAAAAAACTGTTACCATTAGAGAAATCTCCGAAGATATGACCTTGAGATGACCTTCGACCTCATAGCCTAATGTCCCCCCTAAAATACACTAACTTTTCCCCGAACCATTTTTTTGTACCGTGACAAATAAGAGAATAATTAAGGGTGGCAGAGTTAGGTGGGACACCCTTTACTGACTTACGAAACTTCTGCCGCAAGGAAAAAACCGGGAACATCTTATCAGTCCTTTCCGGTGAATCGCTGGACCCGATAGTTCGTTCGGTTTTTCAGCGATTGAGATTGATGTTTATGTCAATCTTCCGATTCACCGGTCGTTTAATGGTTCTTGTTCTGCACAATGCATGCACAGGGTATCACCGAAGGAAACGGAGGTGCCTGGACCGAGGAGAAGGGAATCGATCGAGCGGAATAAGGCGGTTTCGCCGCCGACATCGCCCACGGATCCGCTCGAGCCATGGAGCACACGTGACATTAAGGACATGAACACGATATTGGCTTGGGAAGAAAACGTGCCGGACAGTCCTTAACGAAACTTTATGATATTATGCGCCGTGCACCTTGCCTTCATGACCAACCGGCCGGCAAAAAGGAAGGTGTTCTTGCGGAATCGCCCGCCAGCTGAAACGCGCCGAGGGATGTCGAACTCGGAATGCTTGCCTGGAACATAGAGGCGCATGATGTTCACGAAGGATTTGACGAGAACTCGTTGGGGGACCTGCACATTTCGTAATGGAATCATCGTGGAAAATAACAACACCAAATATTTATTATACACTCACGTCCATAAGTCATCGAACACTTTTGGCGTATCTCCGGGTTTGAAAATGATCCGAATCTTTGGGAATTTACGTACAGTAAATCCTCGATGAGTGTGCGAAGGCACCTCGACACTGAATATTAAATATTTCATAAAGTAATAGATATATGCGGCTGAAACAAATATCATTAGCTTCAGAATTTCAAGCTCTATCACTGTGCTAAACTTCATTGAAAAGTCAGCGTTGCAACTGAGGACCTGTCTTTGTCAGTTCCGAGAAGCCTTCGAACAGTCATCGAGGATTTACTGTACAGTGGACTCTAACTATGTTGCCACTCAGCATATTGCCACGCGAGGCACTTCCCCTTCACGCGTACTTTCTCCCACCAACGCACAGTGGTCCAGAATCAAAATTTAACAGGTCATAGGTACGCTTATTTTGCTTAACACGTTAACAGCCACGTCAGTCACCGGTGACTGACGATGTATAATTTAAAAAATTATATTCTTATATAAAATAGTTTGAGCATGTTTAAAAGAATCTACAAAAATACGTGTAATAGTATACAGATTTCGGTAAGATACATACAAGGAATAAATATAAAGATATACATGTAGTCTTATGGCAACCTTTTGTACTTTTCTGGCTGCCGGCATATCGCGACGTGAACGGAAAGGACAACGAAGTAGGCCCGGCGCTTAACGTGTTAAGGAATCAAAAATGTGGAAATTCATAAATTTTGTTCAAATCGAAGTAGGTGAATGAACACATTTTTATTAATTTTTGGTATCTGTTTCGATGACGTCATCGTTGACTAAAAGTGCTTTCAACATTTCCGTGAATGTCTGAATTTTTAGAGAATTTTTTCTATGTTCGACTGAGATTGGTGATACGAAAGGGTATAATGGGAACATTGGTGCATGGAACAAATCTTCGATGGCTGTTAATAACTTGAGTTGATTTTCTCTCCTGAGGATGAAACTTTGTTTTTGATCATTTGAACCAATTAATCTGCACTTGGCATGGATGGAGCTCTGGACTCAGTGCCATTTCACTCCCCTACAGCCCCGACCATGGCAATATAGTAAGAGTCCATTGTATTTCTAAATAACTGTACAAGATATTTCGATGGAACTTTTTATGTTGTATTAACATATCTTTAGACACTAATTTCCCATTTTTATATAGTCATACAATAATGTTTTCTTGTTGTAGATGGTGCTGATATAGATTCCTTTACTCTCATCCGTCCCTGGTGTCAATTTGACACATCTTTCCCTTAAGAAATGATATCATTCTGTCATGTGCAGGCAAATTTAACTGAAACTCCGTAATTTTTATTATCGAGAAATTGCAAATTTAACTATTTATCACTTCATTGTATTACTTTTTACCAGTCAATTTGACACCGAGGGACAAATTAAGTTGGGAAAATGAGGGATGGATGAGGGTTAAATTGGCTCGACTATGGATAATGTTACAAAATTTAGAATTGACTATTATTTTGTCATTTTTGTTAAGTAATTCTGAAAGATGTTTGGGGTATGTTTAAGATCGTAATCTCACTGACAAATAGAATAATTGTCATTAACATTTCGATATCCATTTTTCTCAAAGGAAACAAGTGTCCGGTGACTGATGGACGGAAGTGCAGTAACTGTATCGAGAAATAAAGTAATATTAAGAACTTTTGTCCAGTATAAAGCTGTCAATACATATAGAGTTAAATGGTAACAGTCTCCTCTAAAAATAAATTCAGCTCCTTCGACACATTCGATCTACATAATTTGTTTCAACCTTATCAAATGTTCTTTCCTTTAGCTCAATTTTCGGTTTTGAAAAAAATATAATAATCGAAAGAAGATCTGGGTAATAGTTGAGGCCATTCTTTTTAGACCTGATCGCCAAGTATCGATAAAAAATGTTTTAGTATTTTTTATCACATAAAATTCAGGAAAAATTTAATCAGCTCCTTCGACATATTCGATTTAATTTGTTTCAACGTCATCAAATGTTCTTTCCTTTATTTCAATTTTCGATTTTGAAAAAAATATAATAATCGAAAGAAGATCTGGGTAATAGTTGAGGCCATTTTTTTTAGACTTGATCGCCAAGTATCGATGAAAAATGTTTTAGTATTTTTATCACATAAAATTCAGTAAAACTTTAATCAGCTCCTTCGACATATTCGATTTAATTTGTTTCAACATTATCAAATGTTCTTTCCTTTATCTCAATTTTCGGTTTTGAAAAAAATATAATAATCGAAAGAAGATCTGGGTAATAGTTGAAGCCATTTTTTCTAGACTTGATTGCCAAGTATCGATAAAAAATGTTTTAGTATTTTTTATCAAATCTCGTAGAGCGAAGTAGTAAACTTCACTGGGTACAGAAGCGTTTCTTGGAAAGTTGGCTCGGTAAGGATCCTCAGATCCGAAGCCACTTACATAATTTGAGTTCGAAACTTCCACGAATTACAGAGTGCCAGAGATATTGCTTAGCCACTGAAGTAGATTTCAAGAAAGTCACTATTGTTTATTCACGTTAAAGGTAGACTGCAGTCACAGCAAAATCACTTGACTATTCGAAAAGACGAACGGGTCGCTGGAGTACCTTTTCTAAGGAAAACTTGTTCACTTAGCACGGGAAAAGGATGTTTCTTAAATATTACGTTATTATTGGCCTATTTATTAAGGGAAAGAAATTAATTTGGTGAAATAAGGCGAGTACATTAATGAATGAACACTTAAGGGATTTTGTAACTATTACAGTCAAATTTTAAATGATAACAATATTAATATATATTTAGCAAATGAAAATAAGATTTTTTAATACCTATACTTTTTGATATCGTATACATTTCAGTTTGAGAAATTGGAAAAATGGGAGTAATTAAATTAAAACAAAAGAATATAGATTTCACCAGTGAATGAACACTTCTAATCAGTAAATAAACGATAGTTTGCATATGCGAATAAATGAAAAAAACATGATTAAAAAAAGACAATATTTGAAATATTTATTATATAATACGTGAATAACACTTATAATTTATAAATGTTTAAGTAACTAATATGTATATGTAAAAAAATGTATAGATAGTGTTTGATTTTCATGGAGGCTGTTACCGTAATTAAAGAAATACTCGACCAAATTCAATTTCTATGGAATTTGTTTAGAAATTAATAATATTAATTGTTGATAATGTATTTCAATATTTACCTATGTGTAAAAGTAAATGAAAATTTGCAGTAACGAAGAATATACAAATTTTATGTCATCTGAGTTTTTCCATGGTTCAGCAGGAGTAGTAATATGTCTGGAAAAGATAAATTCCAAAATTCTGTTTTGCAACTTGTAGAATTGAATGATTCACTTACAGGATACTGAATTTACAACATAAGTAATAACATTAAATAATTAAATAACAGAAGATTTACGAACAAATAATACAGAAAACATGAACGTTATGTACTTTAAAAACGTACTAAAATATAAAAACTGAAGAGTTAGAAGTGGACTTCACTTTGTGTTTCTTTTAGACTAAGGCATTTCAAGTTTATTTCTGAGAAAATGATTGTCTTGGTTTTCTCGATCATTTCAATTCAATCTTTCATTTCGGAAAATATATATTTTTTAAATACAATGAATGCGAAACATTCATAAAATAAATATTAAGCAGAAAAAGTAATTCCCTTGCTAATAAATTTATTCTGGAATAAACGATGTAACATAAACTAAAAAGAATTGATAATATTCCTTCCAATTTTTCATTCTATACCATCGCTAATATTTTCGTAAAAAGTCTACTGTTTCGTTATTCATACTGTTAAAATATTATCTCTTCTTCCAGATAATTAAAATATTCATCAGAAATATTAATTTCATTGAGCAATGTGCACCGCACTTTGTGGTCAAAATTACATAGAAAGGATGTGAAAAATCGCAGAATTTGTCTAAAGAGTAACATACGATGTAATTGTAGTATTACAGAACTTTTGTTATGGTTCCATTTAATTTCGAAATTTTTTTCTTCCCACTTTAATGAATAATGTACCGTTTGTTCCTCTACATACGTGTAAATTTACTACAGAAAATATCCTATTCAATTTGTAATTTCTTCAAATATTGAGAATCCATATATTCGAAGGTGTGTCCATAAAGAGAACAAATAGGGCTATATCCTAATTTTTTGAAATTTGTAAATAGTTCCCCTGTATAAAGACAGAGCATATATTTAAAACAAGTGCAAAATAACTGGTTAATAAATATCTTTTTTTAACTGAAATAATTTTTATTTGGTACTCTTATGTCTCCACTATATATACCCGCAAAGCTCATTTTGATCAGTTTGTTAGTTCAATAGTTATGATTTATTGAAAAAAGGTTGACTCTAAATTTCAAACAGCTGTAAAATCAACAATTTTTAAAATTTTCAGAAATCCATCGAAATACGTTTACATATCGTTAAAGACTACAACATATCTAAATTTGAACAAAATCCGAAATGGTGCTCCAAAAAGTGTTCGTTTTCGCGTGGAACAACCCTAATTAAACAGTCCGAACACTTAAGTTTGCACGCGCAAAGCGATATGTCGTCGAGCCAAGTAGGTAGTCGCAAGAGCATGCAACAGCAATTAGTCTTCTTATCGAAATAGTCTCATTAATAAACTACGTTGCTGCCCCATTTTTAGCGCATTTAGAGTAACGCAGCCCACAGATGGTAGACATTGCATGTAAGAAAAAAAATATAAGAAAGTATCGCATAA